CAAAAAAAAAAAAAACCCTAACCTTGCAACTTCACAAATGAGAGCAATTTCTATTTCTTAATATAATTAATGCCCCTTTAACATTCTGAAACTAGCCAGACTATCTCTTTATTGAATAGCTGATCAAGAATTCTTTAATACAGGCTACTTCATCTACTTCCTAACTTTAATCTCCCAACAGTTCCTAAGCTATCCAGAACATCTAGAAAGATCTCAAACAGAACCCTCAGTACAATTTCATGACAAAGGTTTATTTTCAAAATAAATGAATATTTTAGACAATAATCAGAATTAAAACAATACAATTAACTGATTCATAAAACTCCTGGGCCCCAGCCAGGAGACCACTGAATCAGTGAATAAGGCTCCATATGCCACAAGAGCTTTCTAAGGGCCCAGCAGGACAGTACTAACAGTCACTGCCACCAATAACGGATACACCTAATTAGTCTCTGCAATTACATTACCCTGTTATGGAGTGCATTGCATTTCTTATCATTTTCTGTTGGTAAAATAAACTGTGAATTTTCAAATTTCCCCATTATTAGCAAAATGGAATTTGTTTTTCTCTGAAATGTGTCCATTTCCTTCTCTGCTTACTAAGTCACAATTTACTGTCATTTAACATAATTTTATCTATGCAGCACCAATAAAATTTAACTAATAAGTTGGTGTTTAAAAGGTTTCTGGCCTCCAGTACAATGATGGCAAGAGCATTTCCTCTCTGTTCCAACTCCAACCTACTCCTATGACTGAACATGAAGCATGTACCCTGTTAAAAAGGAGGCCGAGGCAATACTCAGCAAGGAAAGAGTACCAAGAGGCAAACCTTGAGCACAGGGTGGAGCGGTGGCATACCCACAGACTGACCTAACCCACAGACCTAACCAGGGCCCTAAAGACAGCATAAAGCCATATGCTAATTACTTCCTTGCCCTTTGTTTCTTAGCCTCCTTTTTCTGACTAATCTATCAGGATTTCCTTTGATCAGTTATTACATATTAGATGGACCAAAGAAAAGGGGGGTAAAAATCAGCTGATAATTTTATCATTTCAAACTGAAATGTTTGAATGCCAGAGGTTAAAGGTATGCTAAAACTATGTTTTGCAGCACTGTGTCCACTTTGGGTTATATGAATATGACTTGCTTTCTAAGTACCTATCTGCCTAGAGCTTATGTCTCTACTGTGAAATGAGTTTAATCTGTTAACCTGACTACAAGAATGGAGATAAAGTAAGTAAACTCAACAAAAACAAAGCAAACAACCCAGTCAAACAATGGGCAGAAGAGCTAAAAAGGCACTTTTCCAAAGAGGAAATGAAAATGGTTGACAGGCAGGTGAAAAAATGTTCAACATCACTTATAGTCAAGGAAATGCAAATCAAAGTATCACACTGGGGGAAAAAAAGCTAACAACAACAACAAATGTTGGTGAAGACATGGAGAAAAAGAACCTTCTTAAATTGCTGGTGGGACTGCAAACTGGTCCAACCCCTCTGTGGAGGACCCTCAAATTAATAAAAGTGGATCTAACATATGACCCAGCAATTCTACTCCTAGGAATCTGCCAAAGAACCCAAAAACATTAATTCAACAGGAAACCTGTACTCCTGTTTATTGCAGCACTATTTAATATAGCTAAAATATGGAAACAACCTAAATGCCCAAAAACAGATGGCTGGATCAAGATGATGTGATGTATATGTACGTATACATGTGTACATATATATATATATATATACATATACATACATATACACACACAGAGAAAAAACCTGAAATAGAATAGTACTCAGCCATCAAAAAGATAAACTCCTGCTATTTGCAGCAATGTAGATGGAGCTAGAAGGGAATATGCTAGTGAAATAAATCAGAAGGAAAAAGAAAAATATAAAATATCAAATGATATCACTAATAGGGAAACCAAGCAAAAAGTCAAGAAGAAAAAGACAAAACTTGTAGGCAACAATAGATCTGAAACATACAGGAGAGGAGGGAGGTGGGAAAAGGATCAAAACGAGTGGGACAAGCACAAAAGACAATAGTGATGATTAACAGGTGATATGGTGGTGGGATATTCATGAGGACTATACCTGAGAGGAGAAATCAAATTCCATACAAAAATGAACAATGTAAGAAAATGAAAAAAATGAATTAAAAAAAGAAAAAAGAATAATACATGGGGGGAAATAAAGTAAGTTTACTATAACTTGTTTATTAAAAAGTCTATGAATTCCAACTATCTAGTTCATCAATTCAAGACATACAATCTTACACATTTCAACTTCTGCAATCAGAATACATCTTAAAATCAATGTGGTTGTGATCCAATAAAGGTTTTCCACTGATACCTCTAAGATCCAGAAAACCTCCAGGATCAAATATCTTAGATTCCATGGATGTTAACTGTGTTTTCCCTTCCCCCTTAGTTGTGTTCTTGACTGAAAAAGCATAGTAAATCACACTGGAAGGGTTGGTAAACACCTAATTGAAACTCCTCAGATTCACTGGAATATAGCTGATTTCCAAAGAGGAAATACCACATATGACAGAGTTCATTAAGTGATATAGCAAAATTTCATGAAGCACTGTTTCTCTCACGACCTCAACTCCCTCTGTTTCCATCTATGAATTCAGTATAAAGTGATTGCCCCTATAGGTAATATGCCTATTACCTATGAATTTGCAAGTAATGTTTTAGCCAAATGTTTCCAGAACTCAATATAAAGTGCTTGATGTGACATACATGTATCCCTGAAAACCTCTCATTTTGAACAAGTGCAAATTAAAATTTAGTGTTGATGGAAAAGGGGGATTGAGCAAAAGGTTAAAACCTATGCAACTTCACATCCAGAGCATTAACAAAATAGCTGGTACCATGAGAGAGAACTCTGACAGCCTGGAGAGGCAACTCAGCACAGCTGCAGACTGCCTCTAGGGTAATCTAAAATGTGCAAAAGCAACAGTACAGTTGGAAATGAGCTCTGAGCAGTGGGCTGTTAAGGGCCATCCAGGCTGGTGTATGTCTCTTTTAGGAGAAAGCTCTTGAACCAGGGACTTATTTTTAATGCCTTGACATAGAGCCAAAAGGTTTCTTGCATCAGTTAGACTGCTGAGGGTTATACCCCGACTGCAGCTATTATGGGCTTTTAAGAAAAACCACATTGAAACCAGCACAACTTCCATTGGACATTATTTCTAAGCTATTTATATGCAAATTATTGCTCTAAAACATTTGTTTTAGTAGAATAAACTATCTTAAAAACTAGACATTATCACTGGTAACCTGTTAAGTTAGAGAAATTCTTGAAGTAAATCAATGATACATGTGGGAAGAGATAACAGGATTGGATTTTCACTTTTCTTCCACATATTCCCAAAGTGTAAATTGGTAATTTGAACACTTTGACACTAAAATGGGAGTAAATGAGGTTATAGTAAACTTCTCAATTGTAACACATAAAAATGTCTTATGACAAATTATTTAAATGAAACAAGCTATCAAGTTTCCCTGCTTGTCAAATCAACTGGAATAAGTTGTAATAAGTAAGAGTTTGCAACATCACAGCACACAAGATTCCTCTAGATTACTGTTTCAATGAAAAGTTCTTACCTGAAGCACAATGGGGTCAATGCAAGTAAATTTAGTCTCTTCTCTGTAGAGATACTCAATGGAACACTTCAACAGAAGGATTTTAGGATTTTTAATACAAGAATTCATCTATAAAAAACAGTTTGTTAAAGCTTTTAAAGTGTGCTATTTAGAGATTTCCGTTCATAATTTTAAACTTAAACTGTTCATAATTCCTTTTAAAGATGACTTCATTTTATCAATATTAATATACTCTCATTTAATTATCTCAAAGTATTCACATATTCAAAGCAAATAAGTTAGTTCAAAACAATGCAAAATCCTTCAAAAATTGGCTTTATTTCACTAATGTTATTTTAATCTCATTCTCTATACTCTTAACTATTTTTTTATTTCTACAGTTGCAAGAAGAGATAATCAAGTCCTGGGTTGGGGGAAGGGAAGGAATTTAAAACTGGGCTATTGGTAGCCCTTGGTACCTGCTTGTACCTATGCAAGGGTCATCATCGCCTTTCCTTTTCCTAATAAACATGTCCTTTAAAAAAAAAAAAGGTAAGCTATTCACAAACTCCTAGAGATCAGCAAATTTAATCTTTCTGAAACTCAAGAAAGCTGAGGAAGGAGGAAAGGAGTAAAATGCCTCAAGATTGTATCTCTAATAGAATAACAGTCATAAATTAGTAAGATTATTAGGAACAAGAAGTTATAAGAGAAGACTGTAAGCATCTCCAGAAGCAGAGACAATCTACCCTAACCACATATCTAATGCTCCTACACTCAAGATTTCAGAATGACCAAACTTCTACTCTCCACACTAGCAAGTGGTACTAAAAACAGTGACTCACCAGTTGGGAAACTACATTCAGGATTCTTTCAGCAACTATAAATTGAAGACTCTCTAAATATGGTCAGATAGTCATTCATGCATGTATTCACACTAGGCCCACATACCATTTTCAATTCTGGAGAAAAGCACAACTAATTTTAATGGAAGTACTACTTCAATGGATAATATGCTATTTTAGTAAGACGGCAGACACTAATTTTGAGTCACTGCAATGAAATAATACCAAATCTAAACATACTTTCATTTGCCTACAGTCACTAACAATTTTCGAACTAGGAACTCAGGCTAGAAATCAGTTGGAGCGCTCACTGTAACCAAGTATCCCCAGAAGTAGAATATGATATCTCAGTTTTCAGTAAGTTCCCTTAGTGATTCTGAAGCTCGGCAAGGTTGAAGAACAGTGTCATTATAGAACAGTGCCTCACTTTAAATGTGAGGACCTACAAATGACTGTGGGAATACCTTCATGTCTACTTTAATAGGAATCCCAAATTTTCCCTCTCTACTTCTACTCTCTCACTCCCCTAAGCCTACTGAAGAGAACATCAAGAAGGCAGTTTTAGGACACTCTACTTTTATTAAGAATCCTGATACACACTGCACTTGAACAATCAGAGAACTATAGAATACAGTTCAAGACCCTTGGTGGGATAAAAAGCCCTTGCCTATCTCCTCCAACCTCCTCTCCTGCTATTCCCCCTCTTGTACATTATAATCAAGGACTTTCTTTATTTCACCCCACTTCTGGTGTTAGTGCTAGAGAGAGAGCTTAGGGCTGAAGGTGGAGGTACATGGTAAGAAAGACAACAGAATACTAATGACAGTTCTGCAGCTTAGCTCTGGATGAAAGAACAGAGTTTTAACCCTGGATGAAAGAACAGAGTTTTCAAATGTTATGTCTGGAATTACTCCAGTCTGCTACAGGTGCCTGGTCTCCCTGGGATATGTCAGGAGCAGGGGAGAAATGGCACCAGAATCATCACTATTTTGAAAGTCTAACGCATTCTCCTCTCCACTTCCTGCTGTCTCATGAACTCCCATTACCCAAGTCCCAGTCATCCGCAGCTCTGGAAGACCTTTCCTGAACCTCCAAAATTTCACCCCCACGGCAAACAAGTTTCTTCTCAATGACCTTTCTTCTTTTCTTCCATAGTTATGGTCACCCACCTTGTTAGCTTTGTTCTGTCAAAGTCTGTTGAACATCATTATTGAACTAAATCACATTACCTTTTTATGTGCAATATTCTTGGTACAAACAAATCCATTGACAACCACAGAGTCAAACTTCTTTCCACCTGGGATCTAATGAAACAATGAAAGGAACAAAACAAAACAAAACAAAAAAAGCAATGATACAGTCTTAGATACTCTTAGATAATCCGGTCAGACAGATATTCATTTCCATTTTTCATTTTAAGTATAGTGTCATCAAATAAGAACAGAAAGTTTTGTATAGTTCTTCCTTTAACCAATAATTAATTAATGGCATCCTAGCACAACTGTCTATTTTTTCTCCTCTCAATCTCTAACACATCTTCTGATATTCTAAAAATTACTTGGACCAATCAAACTGGTACCATATGACAATTAAAGCCACTATAAAATTAAATATCACAGGCAGAAAAATAAAAAGAGGAAGCCATTACAGCCTAAATAAACCAATTACCCATTGCTTTTCTTCAGAAAAGTGACAGTGTTGTGTGGGAATTGGACTTCTCACAGATATTATATTGAGAAGAAGTATGAAAGAAAGAAATGATTATTTGTTTCAACTCCCAACTTTTCTGAGAAGCAACTGACCCCATCTGGTCATCTCTCACTTCCTACAAGTGACTGCCATGACTATTGAAGTGCACTGCTGACTAACATAGCAGACAGGAAAAGCCTCCTCACCTACCACCGACCGAGGCAATGATCATCTTAAATTACCACTAAGAGATACATAACCACCAGCCCTTCTTCATCAGTTGCCTAGCATTAGAAAACCTTTCACAGCACTCACTTTTTTGATGTGGACAAATTGACGGATATCCATGTCATCATCCCGGTTCTTGACATCAGGTCGGACTGTCTGAACAACCTGGCAGACTAGTGACACAATGATGTCCCTCCAAGATGGTGACAATGACTCACTATGGAGCAACTGTTGGAGCAGTGCCATCATGTGATTATGATTCGCTGAACTATAAAAAAAGCCCAGAAAGAAGTCCACATAGTTAATACTGCCAGAAACAAAACACTGAATCTAATGCAACAAGCACATTAGATCTCACAGAAAAATCTTCTAAGTCAATTTTATTTTTTCAATGAAGCTGTGCCGTCATGATACTGCATATATGCAATCTGTGATTAAATCTTTAATTAAGATGAGCCATTTAATTCACTAAAATTTTACACTTAAATTACAATGGGAACAGGCAAACACACTTAGGGGACTCTTGCTCATTAAGAATTTCAACAGAACAGATTTTATTCCTATGTAATCTCAGGACTTTATAAGGAAAAGGAACTATGCATATGCCTTTAAAGTTGTTGAAAATTATTTTTTAAAAAAATGGAAAACTAAAATGAAAACGCCTTACAGCAACCTCTCCATGGCTTGTTTCTCTCCATTCTCCTCCCTCAGCAGCTCCAGGTTGTTGTGATGCCAGCCCAAAGGTGTGAAAGGCAGCTCTTTGGATTTTTCCTCTACTCGACGATTAAATAAGGACTCTAAGTGTAAAATAAGAAATTATATTTCACTGTGATGGTTCATATCATCTACTCAGATTTAGAAATTCCCAACTTCTTTTTTTAAATGTTTTAACTTGGCCAATTGGCATGAAAAGGAAAGAATATGTATAAATACATAAATAAAACTAAGCCTGAGTTAGAGCATGCATATTCATTAGAGCCAAAATCAGAGACAGAATTGTGAGGAGTAAATTTACATAAACAAGTAGGACTCTCAAACCAGTAATTATACAGTTTCTGAAAAGCAAATAACATGAAAATTTTTATAGTGTCCTTTGATTTATTCAAGTACATTAAAAAAGGAAGGCAGTCAATTTTCCCCATAAAAGTCACAAATTGAAAACTACATTCAAGAGAATTGGAATGCTGGCAAAACAATGTGTGATCATGCAGGTGTCAAATTTTAAGGAGAAACGCTCAGTCCTGATGTGTCTGAAACCACACAGTACAGGATAGAAAGCCTGTTCAAACAAGTCTTAGTGTTGTTTCTCAATAACTGCAACAAAGGCTTTTTTAGCAAAGTTTTACAAGTTGAGCCCAAAAATAAGCTACAAGAAATATGCTGAACTGACAAGTAACAATTTACATGGAAGTTTGTAAATTTCTTAAATCTTTAAGTAGCAAGACAAAAACTAATGGATAACATTAGATTCTTTGTAAAAAAAAAATGCTTACTAAACAAGGGAGTAATAAGGATTCAATAAAGGAAAGAAAAGAGATGAGAAATGTTTTCCAAATTCTCAAAACCTTCCCCTCTTAAAGCAAACCAAACAAGAAAACTTAAGTCCAGCAGACCACACTGTTCTGCACATGCCCATGGCTGGTCTACAAACTTCTAGTTGGAACAGATGCTCAGAGGGAAATTTAGAAAGTGCCGGAATGTCATGGGGCCAGCTGCCAGGGGCCTCCCAGTACCTCCCTTGCCCTACCTTCTCTTTCACCTGACATACTCCCATTATGTAGGGCCTAAGCTGTGGTGTGTTAAGGACCAGTTAAGTACGTCTTTACTCCACAGTAAGCTATATTGTAATGGGGTAAGAGGAAGTTTATATTCCACACTCTCTTTTGTTTCCACAAAAGTGATAAACAGAAGTTCTGTTACTATATCCTGTTACTTCTCTTCCCAGCACCTCAAAGGTAAGCAATATACTCAACTGGATGAAATCTGCTTGTGGATTATTTTGATGAATGTGACCATCCCTAGTGATCTGTCTAGCCATACTGAATACTATTTTCTTGGCAGTAGAAAGTATAAACTGTGTCTTTAAAATAATAAAATTCAAATTTTACTTGTAAGCTTTTAAGCAATTATTTTTCAGGTCAGATATCTCCTCTCACACCAAGTTGAAGTTTGTTTTTAGCTCTCATCATTCTCATTCTCATCATTCATTATACACACCAAAAAGTGAATTCATGACACTAAAATAAACATGTTTTCAGTCCCTACTCTTTACCAAACAATGTTCTAGGCCCCATAGACATCTTCATGAACAAGAGAGACACCACCCCATGTTCAGATTTGATAAAATTACCTTTGATGAAGGCATCACTTATTGAGAGTTGCTGTCCTCCACTGTCAGACATCAAGTACTCTGCACACCAGGGAGAGAGTGGAGAGAGGAGGGAGAGACTATGACTACAACATGCCAGCATAATTATACAGAGAGCACACCCACACACAAGGTATTACTCATTCTAAACCCATCACTGTTTAGTAAGCCAATTCTAGAAAACTTGAGGTTAAAATGCATTTTAGACTAGTTCTGCACACTTCATACTAAATATACATCATGGCTTGAATTAATAACTCAAGAGAACCTTGAAACAGTAATGAAAGCCTCTTTTCATTTTTCCTTTTTCAAAATTTTAAGAAAATTAAGATCTTCAATAATTTGCAAGACAAGACTAAAAAAAGCTACACCACTTTTCTCATTCATATCTTTATAAACAAAATAGTTCACAAATAACCGCTACCTGGCAAACATAACATACGGTATTTTTTTTAATTTCAGAATTACGCTAGAAAATACATTAATAGTGATGACAGGGAATAAAGACATAACTGATAGCTTTTTATAAATATGTGAACTAAAATTTTAGGTTTTCAAAAATTCCATCCAAAACAGGCAAATGGTTGCCAAAACTGCTGGACAACTCTGAATATGTTCTTTGAGAACTTTTTGAATATTGACTATTTTGTTTACAAGTGATTAGCCTTTACTTCCCCAAGAAATTTTCTCTAGATCTGTAACCAAGCATAGCTCAAATGAGGTTCCGCCCACCATGCAAATTAACCACAGTGTATTTCCAGTCTTCAAGGTAATAATTCTCCACAAAATTCTTTCCAAGTAGCTTTCATTTATTAAAAATGGGTTTCAAAAGGTAATGTCTATAAGCCAATATGCTCATCCTTCTAACAAGCAGAGGAAATATTTTTAAAAATAAAATGTCAAATAAAAAAAATCAAGTAAAAACAGATGTTATATTTTTATATTTCCCTCACAGAAGTGAAAAATGTGAACCTGTTCAGTCCATTCATGTATGCTTTACAAGTTTCACTTTTCAAATGAAAGCTTAAACGTATTTACATACACAAAATTCACAAAAGGCTGGACTGTTCCATTTTATATAGAAACATTTCAAATACATGTAAACCTGTATAACCTCCATGACATCTACATTAATCAACTGTTAACAACTTGCCATAACTGACCTCTTTCTATATATAGGCTCACGTTTTCCCCTGACCATCTGAAGTTATAAATATCAGAGCACTTTACCACCAATTCTTCAACCTGCATCTCTTAAAAATAAAGCCATTCCTATTGTGGTGATGGCACACGGGTGATTTGGTGATGGGAAACCCATGGGGATTACAATTGAGATGGAAAAAAAAATGTACAAAACGATGTAAAAATAAACTTTTGTAAAATTAAAAAAAAAAATAAAGCCATTCCTCTCTGGGGACTTTATAGGTTAATGAAAGTGACAATGTCTTAATATTTCTGGCTTACAGTCAACATTCAAGTTGACCTGTCCCCAAAATGTTTCAATAAATGTTTTTTTCTCTTCAAACGTCATTTAATAAGGTCATATGCAGCATTTTCTCTTTCTTCCTTTTTCCTAATACTGACTTTTGAGAGTGCCCAGGACAAATACCCTGTGGAAGACCCCGCATTCTGGATTTGATGGATTGGCTCCTCATGGTGCTGTCTAACCCATGCTCATATCCCATGTTTTCCTAAACTGATAGGTCTAAGGACTTGAAAAAGTCATGATTTTCATTCTGTTCCTGTTAACTCTCCAAGAAATGCTCACCAGCCCGCTCACAAAAAAAATATTTCTACTGTATGACTCTGCAAGACCAACAGGAAAAATTAATCCAAAAGGTTTGATTGTCAGTCTCAGTCTTATACGTTTTGGACATGAGGGTTTTACATAAGATTACAAAAATATGAACAATTTAAGTACAGATAATTTATCAACCAGTTTACAAAACCAAATTTCCTCAATCTCAGATGATATAGGGCAATCCCTTAAAATTTCCATTAATTCAGTGGAAAGATTAAAAAACACCTACTCCCATTTGTTTGTATTTAAGAAAAATGAAAACCAAAGGATAGCCAAGTATCTTATCCTTTCACTGTAATACTAAATCACTGACTCTTTAATTTCTGATAACCAGAATTACTGCATTTGAACTTCACAAGAAAAATGGGAAAAGAATAATTTTGTTAACATGATAAAAATTAATAACTGTGAATAACCAGAACTGTTTATTAAGGGATTTATAAAGCCCTCAAATTACAGGTTCTTAAGGCTGCAAACAATCTAAGAGGTCAATCTTATAATTACCTTCTTTCCAAAGCTGAAACCTCCTCTATTATGTCCTTACTGTAGAGAAAGTCAAAGGATTCCTTACACTCCTTATATTTCTTTAAAAATTCTACATCTAGGTTTTTCATTCCGGATTCAGAATTAAGGGTAAACCAGTCACCAAATCTACCTAACCTCTCATTCAACGTAGGCTTCGATCCTCAATAACCCTGAAAGACGGACATTCGACATCTGGACACACCCAGTACACAACTCACTATTCCTAACTACTAAACTTCTTTCCTTCAGTAAAATACAAAATAAACATCATTTCTTTCAGATACCAAAAGGGAACATCATGAACTGGTAAGAACGGCCTTCTCCAAAGTATAAGTAGTAAACTTTTAAAGGCTAATTATATTCTTTGTGTTATATTCCATCTTATCAGTTTGTCTATCACTTAGCAAAATAAAGATCTTTAGATTCCAATTCTGCTATTTTTTCCAGATTATAATGTTTGTGAATCCTTTGAAAAACATTGGAAGTGCTGACTAAAAGTTGTTGAAACTTAATTAAAAGTAGAGAAAGCTTCAGAACATAATCTAGGAGAATCCCCTTCCTTATGACATCAAAATGTTACTTTCAATATCTGACACAACCATTAAATTACATTAAACTATTAAATCCAAATGTTATATTAACGGTGGCACTGCTATATTGTTACATTTAAGTTATAAGCTTATAAACTAAGCTTTTAATGTGTTTTTTATATAAAGGTTCATAGAGACTCCAAAACTTTAGATTTTAACACACATGACTACTGCCTGTAACTACTTCTTTAGTAGATGTAAAGTGTAAAACAGTCCTTTGTCCACATAGCTGTTAACAGACCATTAATGTTTTATTAACATCGAAGACAACCAAATCATTTAGCATACTCTTTAGTTTACCAAATCTCACATCACTACAAAAGATGGAAATGAGACACTTCCTGGTGGGGCAACGAGTTAAAGTACAGCACTGAGAAGCTGGCTGGGCTGCTTCAATGTGAGGAGAAAGTGTTTCAATTAATATTACATCAACTTTCCCCTACAACTGATTCTCCTTTCTTTGCATCACAATTTTAAGATGACTTTTCCAAGTTGTCTTTGAAATTTATTTCAATCTTCAATTGAATCTGAACTTCACCCTCATACATTTCACAAATTTTGTAGATACTCTCCTTAAAAGTTTAAGGCCAGAGAAGGTCCATAGTAGTAATGACGGTTTCCTCAACTGCAGGTGCTTCCCTTTAATTTCCTTAGACATACAACTTGAGGTTGTCTTATAAAAATGCCATTATTGTAATTCTCAATACTATGAAGTCAGATGTCCTAAAGTAAACATCTAAGTGTGCTCAATCTGTCCGCCTTTTGCTACTATGAATTCTATGACAAGGCACTTTCTTCATGATTTTAAGAATTTCTTTAACTTTCCAAGAGGTTAAAATCATTAGCAAGTTGAAATTTATTTAGCTTTTAATTTCAGCAAAATGAAACTGTCAACAGATGTGTCTAGAGAGCTGACACCTTCCATGGTGATAGTTTCATGGTTGAACTACATCTGTCACTTAATTTCAAAAGTGTCATCCAAACCTCCCTGTGACTATCTATAGCTAATGCTCAGAGTCCTGTCTAGCTCACCACCCTGTCATATTCATCCAAATGTTCTCCACCATTTTTCCAATTTCAGTTTTGAGTATCCCCATATCATGTATATTTTACTCATGTTCCTTCTATTCAAGTCTTCACTCTCCATGCCCTCTCTAAACTTCCATTTTGAAGTAAAATATACCTTTTTTTACCGTAAGTCTTAAATTCCATTTTAGCATATTTTGATGGTAATGGCTAACATTACCAATTATGGAACTTGTAGAAATATGAATTTGTTTCCAATTATTTTAGTATGGATGTTTAAATTCAAAAGCTTCTCTTTTCTGATATTTTCAACACAAAATAGGGAGTCATAAAAAATTAGGTAAACACTTAAATGAGGAGACAATTCAACTTTAGAGATCTAAATGTTAAAATTCAATTCCAGGTGAAAACACAGAATTACTTCATCTTTCTAGTAATAATTTTCTAGTGATTATAACATACATATCAAAATCCCAGAACTATTTTTTATTTACGTATTCCTTTATTTACATTTACATTATGCCATTTTAGGGCTAAAATTTATATTGACTTTCAATTACATCCAGCAGAGTAAATTTCATCATCAATTTTTAAAAAGCATTTTACTTTTTATGCTTTGCTATGTTAGATTTAATGCCCTTTGAATATGGCTATTATTATTTTTGAATCAGCAGGCTAAGCCTCAAATAAGATACCTAAAAATAATGTCTTGTGTTACTTACAGAAAACTATGATAAATTCAGCATGCAGACAATAAGCATTTTAAATCACAGTGGAAAGATATTTTGGAATGTGTGAACATTTTCCCCTCAATCTAGTTCAAGCAGTTTTTGAAAAGGTTTAGTAAAACACTATGCTACTTGGTAACAGCAGGCGCAAACAGGCTTGGAAGTGTTAAATGAAGAAAGAAAGATGAATAGAGCAGAACATCCATGTTATAAAAGCAAAGAAATGCCACCTTGGAAGTTGCACATTATGCCAAGGAAAGAGCAGTCTGATGTAGTTCCTTCTAAAAACTGTAATCTTGAAACTGGGTATGGTGGTACTAAGGGAGAAAACAAGAACTTAAAGAACCAACCAAAAAAGGTGGGGAAGGAGGTGTGGGAGAATGATGACGGGTACAACAAACCCACACCCAGTCCCCTCAGCCACATGGGACAGAGAGGAAGCCAGAAGCACAGGCTGGCATGAGACCCTGTGCCCAGTGATCCAGCCTGTACCTGGATTTCAGTGGGTGACTACCTCCTACCTTTTTGGTCGGCAGGGTGAGGGGGCACATGTGGGTACTTGGAGGGCTTCTTGATATGGAAGTTCACGTTGTCCAGCTCCACGTTCAGGCTGATAGAAGCAGCTGAGTCACTGTCCACTGTGGACTGGAAACTGCTGACTGACGTGCGCTTGCTAGGACTGGCAGAATCTTTTAGTGTGAGGGAGGGGGAAGAAATACAGGGAGAGGAGGGGAGTAAAAATGGGTTTCATCAGAGTATTGGAGGAAAGGAGAAAAATGGTTTTTTAATATACAAGCCCAATGTGCAATACCAAAATGGATACAGTATTTTCATGTACTTCTGTGCAGACTTTAAATAAAGTTTGAACAAGATAAACATAAATGAAATTTTTAAAAAGAAGAAATATATTGGAGGTTCTGCAGAGAGAAAGTCTGATATCAGTGAAGAGGTGAGAAAGTTGTATGCTGCAATATTATTAGCTCAAGAGTTATTTTTAAGCTGCTGCAAACTAGAGACTAGGGCAAAATCTGCAAACACAGTCACCTAACAAGCTGGTTTCTTAAGAAAATATTGTATCTAGGACAAGATAACTATCAGATGTTTACTTTTACTTAGAGCCATAAATCTCAAAGTGTGACTGTTTCAACTAGACAAACAAAACGCTCATGTTATCATACATACAGATTCATAGAAACGAAAATGTTAGAAAGTTAAACTCACTAGTCAAATTATCGTCACCTTCTTCAGCTATCTGTTCTGTGTCGCTGTCATCAAACTTTATGTCTTTAAACCAAGATGGCTCAGAGTGTCCCTCCACAGAGTTCACTGAGTCACTGTCCGGAGAAGGAGTCTCAGAAAATTCTGTGCTCTGAAAGGATAAGACAGGATCCAAGCAATTGACCCCTAATGGCAACAAAGCTGAGGCTACCACACTACAAATAAATTCAAACCTGGTATTTCCATATAGTTAATCACTGAATAAATTTACGTAAGACGCAAGTTAATAGAACCACATTATAAAGCATCATCATGCTCACAATTCCACTCTGAAAATTATAATTGTTGTTAATCAGTAGGCTTAAGCTGTATAGTATTAACAAAATACAATATACAGATTTCACGGTGCTTCAATTTACTCTTATTCCTAATTCATGAGAGCAAACGAAGATGACTTAGAATTTATTCTAAGCCTGTGCCAACATTAAAACACATCCTCAAAAACAACAAAACACCACACCAATCTTTTGGATCATTAGTCTTTTCTAACCATTGAGCTTCCAATTTTAGGTTGCAAAGCGTTACTAAACATTATACCAAATTAACATAAACCAAAAGTGAAAGCAGTTCTTTTTCAAAAGTTCTGTCTTTAAATAACTTCCACTTCCCTAAATAAAAAAAGAAAATAGATTAATCCGTGTTTTAGTACTGATAGCACAATTTAATACTGTGAAGGAGTCAAAATTCATGTCAATAGTAACATTACATCACAACCATTTTAATATATATATTCCCTCTGAGAAGAAAACAAACATAGTAAAACTGAAAACTATTAAAATGAAGTGACGAGCAAAACAACAAGGTCAAGCTGAAGACAACCACACCAACTAAGTAGTGTTTGATACTAACAGATTTTTCATCTGCTATTACCAAGTAAACATGTTTTAATTTTTCTCAAATAGCAAGGATAACGGGGTATAAAAGTGTATTTTTGTGCAACTCAGTTACATATTACTCAGATTCCTGAAGAAAGACTTCACAGCAGCTTTGCTAGAGTCTCATTAACAATAACATGAAACTACCTGCAGTGGCCTGTACAGTGCATACTCATCCCTGAAGAGTTGGTCGTGATGACTGACACAGTCCAGCCAACGCCCATCAACCATTGCTTGGCCAATTGCTATAGCTTGAGCCCTGAATCAAAAATAACAAAAATGAAAACTTTTAAAAAGTCAGAAGAGGGCCCTCCCTGGTGGC